ACAAACTCCCAAGTACCGTTATAGAGGCCAGAACGTTGTGTAGCTTTAAAAATAGGTTGGATAAATACATGAGTAGATGTGGGTGGGTGTGAGTTAGACCTGATAGCTTGTGCTAACAGGTCGGTTGCCGTGTTCCTCCCTTAAGTCAATGTGACCTGACCTGACTAGGTTGGGTGCATTGGCTTAAGCCGGTAGGAGACTTGGACCTGCCTCGCATGGGCCAGTAGGCCTTCTGCAGTGTTCCTTCGTTCTTATGTTCTTATGTTCTTATGTACTGTTATTGCCTTATTAATCATAAGTTAATTTTAAGTTTGCCCGAAATGCTCTGCATATGAAGGGGCTTTCGGCATGGACACCCAACTGTTATATTTCTTTGTACAAACATGTATCATGTCAAAATAAAATATTATTATTATTATTATTATTGTTCTGGCAAGACAGTTATTGAATAAATAACAAATTTTCCTTTTTTTTTTTTTTAATAATCACTCTACCTAGGTGCGAGATGATTGGAGCAGTAAAAAAAAATTGCATCGATAGATAACACTTTCAAAGGAGAAATGAATTTTAAACTAATCAAATGTTTCCCACAAAGGCAATGTGACCTAAAAAACACATTCATCATCACTCATTCAACAGCTGTATTACAAGAGTGAGAATATCAGTATTCATGTGACCCTCTGAACTGCAACATCCCCACTCCTCTTACAGAAAGCAGGTTTGTACTTTCCAACTCTACAACTTAAGTCCAGCTAACTGATTATCAGGAATCCCTCATAGATGTTACCTCATTCACACTCCAATACAGTGGTACCTTGGCATACGTCCGCTTAAGAGTAAGTCCAACTTGGTATACGTCCTGTTTGGATGCGAAAATTTTTGCTTGGTATACGACCTTTGTTTGGAATATGACTCACGTGCTAGAACTTGTATGGGTCAAAATGAGTCACGACACTGCGTGCTACCCTCGTTTACTTCTCTCTTGAGACAAAGCCATGACTGCCCACTAGCATTAGTGATGTGGAGGAGTTAGTGGAGGGGCACAGGGAAGAGCTGACCACTCAAGAGCTGCAGGAACTTGAGAAGGAGGAGCAAAAGACTAAGATGGATGCACTCTCTTCATGCTCAGAAGAGGAGACAGAGGAAGCCCCTACTTCACTAATCAAGGAAATCTTCGCCAAATGGATGGATGTCAAAAACTTTGCAGAGAAGTACCACCTCCAACAAAAAACAAACAAGCCGTAATAGCACTGTCTGGAATGACCAGGCAATGTCACATTTCCGAAACATTCTGAGGAGAAGGCAGAAGCAAAGTTCTTTGGACAGATTTTTAGTAAAAGTCAAACATGGTGAGCTTCAACCAGGTCCAAATAGGAAAACGAGACAGAAAAGAGAAGGGGACTCTCCTTCCAAACAATATTTCCTCCTCCTCCCTAGTAGGCACTCGACTCTTTTCAGCAAAGTAAAGCGATGTTAAATTTGCATTTAATTTATCTAATTCTTTTGTATTGATGAATGTATTTTAGTATTAAGCAGTGTTTAAATTACATATTTTAGTATAAAGCAGTGTTTAAATTATTTTATACAACCCCATCAATGTACAATATGCCAATAACAATAGGAATCTTTTTCATGGGAACGGATTAATCATTTTTCCTATAATTCTTATGGGAAAATTCATTTGGTATACGTCCTGTTTGGTACAAGTCCAAGGTCCTGGAACGGATTAAAGACGTATACCGAGGTACCACTGTAACATGTCAAATCCCAAAAAGCACTTGTCCTTTACTCACTCAAAATGGAAATATGGTGCAGTAACAAGTGAGGAACAACAGTACAGCCTCTCTTCACTTAGCGATGCACTCATTTACTGATGCCTCGGACTTATGATGGCTCTCTGACCAGGATGCATACCTAAATAATGTATATTAGAGATGATTTCTCCTATTCGCTTTATTACAAGATACAGTACACTACATTTAAAAATATACTTAAAATGTTATGAATGGTGCAAAGGTGACATTAAAACAATACCAAAGATGGATGACACAAACCCACTACCATTATACGTAGTACATGCTCCTTGCTTAGCGACGAATTCGTTTACCAACATGGTCTTAGGAATGGAACTCCGTCAAGAAGTGAGGAGAGGCTGTATATAAATGAATATTACCCAAGAAAAATATTACACACAAGACAGATAATGGCAGCTACCATTTAATTGCAAAGTTACAGTACACGAGTTTGAGACTGCAAAATTAGTAAAGTGAGGCACCACAAATCATTGCCTTGTTGTGACTGAAGCCTAATTATACCTACAACTGAATTACATACCTGGATATATTAAGTTCTAATGCTTAAAAAATTATTACCCAATGAAAACAGTGCATGCCATTACTAGCAGCAAGTAGGAATGCCAACTCCCACTGATCATGAGAGACCTACCCAACATCAATACACAGCAATTAATTGCTTGGCTGAGTAAGCACACATTTTGAATGTGTTAAGCTGGTCAAGACTTACATCTCTACTATACTTGCGGTAAATGACCAGTAGACATGAATACCTATGTTAACCAAGTATCCACCGGTACAAAGACTAAAATTTTATTCAATCACGATTCACATCTTCTCTCAATATACCCTTGCCAACAGGGAAGGCAGCCAAGTGCTCTACCATTAACAGAAATTTTGTAGCAAGACTATTAATTGGCCTTACATTGTCAAGAGCTGACTCATAAAACCTGACGGTCTTCAAGATGCTTATAATGACCCAGTAAACAAGTTTTTCTTTTTTAACACATTTGCTGTTTCCTACCAAGACATGGTAACCCCCCAAAAAATAAACACTTTCACCATCACTGTCTTGCCGGTGGGGCACTGATACTACAGTTCCAACTTGAAATATCCCCACCCCCTCCTTCAGAGTGCAGGCACTGTACATCCCACCTCCAAGACTCAAGTCTGCCTAACAGGTTTCCCTGAATCCCTTCATAAATTTTACCCTGCTCACACTCCAATGGCACGATGTCATAAAAACCACTTGCCTCCACTCACTCCTATCTAACATGCTCACACATGCTTGCTGGATGTCAAAGCTTCCCCCTCACACACAAAACCTCCTTTACCCACTTTTCCAACCTTTCCTATATTTCTTCCCTATAATATTCTATAGAATGTAATGATTTACATTAGAATGTCTTCATAAACTGTTTCAACACTTAATACAATGACTTACATCACAACTTCTTTATACCCTTTGTTACAACACTGCAATGACTTAAATCACAACATCTTCATGGACTTTTTAAGCACTTAAGACAATGTAATTCACTTGTAATTCATTTGAATGTAATTCACTTGAACATAATTCACTTCTACATTCATATGCATTTACCTGAACACATTGACTAAACAATACAGTGTCAGTGTCTTGTCACACATTCACATTACCACAAACTATAACTGTTTCAACATGAACCTATGCCATACATTACTCATTTATGCAAAATAACCACTGTGAAAAATAGTGAATTTCCAAGAACCTTCATGATTTTTCACAAAAGCACTTAGAAATTAACTTTTTTATTACAGTGCATATTTTGCATATTGTACTAACATCTGTTTACTTTAATCTTATTGCATCTCTAATTTAGTTTATTCATTAACCCTTTAACTGTCCAAATCAGCAATGGCTCCCTCAATTGAGTTGATTAATGCAACCACTCTGGCCCTTGTGAGATGTACCCCATCCCTTGCATACATATCATGTTTGCCATAAAAATTTTCCAAGTTATCAATGAATGGAATTTCAAATTCCTTTCCGTACCTATCTAGCCAGCAATTTAAACCAATTGCCCTAGACATCTATTCACTGCCCACTCCCTTTCTAGGCAAGATGCTATATATGATTGGGACCCCTCCCTTAATCCTAATTACATCTATGGATGACTTGTACTTATCCAGCAGCTCTTGTCTCCTGCCCTTCCTGATATCATTTCCACCAGCTTGTTCCCATTACCTGACATAATATTATCCAACCTGTTGATTATCTCATCAACATCAGCTCCTGGGAAGCACACTCTCCAACATTCCTATCTCTGTTACAGAAAGCAAGGGCCATATATCTTACCTGTGAGTCACCCACAACCATAATGTTCTTACCTTGATTAGCAGAGGAGTTAGTGGTACCTTTAACATCGCTAACCACTGAAGTACGCTCATCCTAGAGAACAGAGACTTGATTTCCTACCTTCAGATCTTCTCTATTAAGCTTCCTTATCTTAATACTTCTACCTTTAGTAGAGACCACATTTCACTTGAAACAGCTGCCACTCTTCAACTCACTGTTGGTAACCTTTCCCTCCACACCAACTCCACCCTTCGTACACTCACTCCCAAATCCATCTAAATGAATTTTCAGCCTATTTTCCTCTTGGTGAAGTAGAACCTCCTTTAACACTTTAACCTGAGATTCCAAAACACTACAACAAGCCATGGTGCTCTATAACACTCCACACTAATCATTTCATTCTATCAAATGATAACAAGAAACTGTCAATGAAATCATAATAGCCATCCAAGAAAACACCTCAAAGTTGCTATTTTAAACAAAGCATAATGTCAGAGTTTGCTTTTCCTATCATGCATTATGTGGGGCAGAATTTTTTTATGTGCATACTCACCACACAAACCTATTCTCTCATATCCAGGCCATAATATACCACTCTAAGCTTATCTGAGTGAGTTGAGTTCAAGATATCACTAATGTAGATCTATGTGACAGTGAAAGGGTTAATAAACTACCGAGCGTAAAATTTGGCTATTTACTCCTAACAATTAAAAATAAATTATGGTATATTTCCCCTCTTACAAATGTAGAAAGTCCCATAATTATATTTTCATCACTGAGGTTCAATCTATAAAATATACAAAATACAGTAAGTGCACAAAATACTCAAGTAATACAGTAGATGTTGAATAAATTTGCTGCAGACTTACTTCATCTTGCAACATTGCAAATTCCTCCAAGAGATGAGCCACCTTGTCTCGCTGACGTGCTCGGTTGTGCCCACATGTCTGGATGAGCTGTTCAAACGGTCTAACACATCGGTTGAAGAATGAGTCAACATAATCTTTGGCCTGAAATAGAGGTATCAAAGTAATATCTATCTAGGCATATAAAAAATTGCAATACAGTACTGTACTACATAAAACTATGTAAATCATATCCTACACATGTACTGCACAAAGGTTTTGTTTAATTCTCAAAACTTGAAGACCTCAAAATGAGAGTCTTCATTTCCTTCTTTCTTTCTTTCAACTAACTGGCAATATCCCACCGAAGCAGGGTGGCCCAATAAGAAAAACAAAGGTTTCTCTTTTTAACTTTAGTAATGTATACAGGAGAAGGGGTTACTAGCCTTTTGCTCCCAGCATTTTAGTCACCTCTCACGACATGCAGGGCGTACAGAGGAAGAATTCTGTCCCACTTTCCAATGGAGATAAGAGGAAATAAACAAGAATAAGAACTAGTAAGAAAAAAGAAGAAAACCCAGAGGGGTGTGTATATATATGCTTGTACATGTAAGTGTAGCGTGACCTAAGTGCAAGTATAAGTAGCAGACGTACCTGAAATCTTGCATGTTTATGAGACAGAAAAAAGATAACAGCAATCCTACCATCATGTAAAACAATTACACTCACTTGGAAGGATGGTAGTACCTTCCTGGGTGGTTGCTGTCTACCAACCTACTTCTTTCTTTCTTTCTTTCAACACACCAGCCGTATCCCACCGAGGCGGGGTGGCCCAAAAGGAAAAATGAAAGTTTCTCCTTTTACATTTAGAAATATGTATATACAGGAGAAGGGGTTACTAGCCCCTTTCTCCTGGCATTTTAGTCGCCTCTTACAACACGCATGGCTTACGGAGGAAGAATTCTGTTCCACTTCCCCATGGAGGTAAGAGGAAATAAACAAGGACAAGAACTAGAAAGAAAACAGAAGAAAACCCAGAGGGGTGTGTATATATATGCTTGTACACGTATGTGTAGTGTGACCTAAATGTAAGTAGAAGTAACAAGACGTACCTGAAATCTTGCATGTGTATGAGACAGAAAAAAAAAAGACACCAGCAATCCTACCATCATGTAAAACAATTACAGGCTTCCATTTTACACTCACTTGGCAGGACGGTAGTACCTCCCTGGGCGGCTGCTGTTTACCAACCTACTACCTAGTATATATATAATCTGACAATTTATAATTTCTTAGAGAAACAGTAAAACTTTACTATATTATATCTCTGTAATTCACATACCTGAACATTATTCATTACTGGTGCTTTTGGTAAGAGTGCTGGAGGACAGATGAAGCCTCGGGCAGCTTCTCTCAGTGCCTCTGCCATAGCCTGACCTCCCCAAAGTTTATCACCCCCAAGGTACAACACCTGTGCCAACGATCTTGACAAGACACATGGACGACTTTCGGAGAAATATTCGATGAATTCCTGCAAAGATATTTATGAAGGATATTAATATAAAGGGAAGGGGGATGAAAGAGATTGTAAAAATTACAGGGGAAAAAGTTTACTGAGTATACCATGTAAAGTGTATGGCAGGGTTATTATTGAAAGAATTAGAGGTAAGACAGAAAGCAGGATTGCAGATGAGCAAGGAGGCTTTAGAATGGGTAGGAGATGTGTAGATCAAGCGTTTACATTGAAGCATATACACGAACAGTATTAAGGTAAAGGCAGGGAAGTTTTCATTGCATTTATGTATTTAGAAAAGGCATATGATAGAGTGGATGGGAGAGTAATGTTGCAAGTGTATGGAATAGATAGTAAGTTACTAAATGCTGTAAAGAGTTTTTATGAGGATAGTGAGGCTCAGGTTAGGATGTGTAGGAGAGGAGATTACTTCTCAGTAAAAGTAGGTCTTAGATAAGGATGTGTAATGTCACCATGGTTGTTGTAGATGGGGTTGTAAAAGAAGTAAATACTAGGGTGTTGGGGAGAGGGGCGAGATTAAATTATGGGGAATCAAATACAAAATGAGAGTTGACACAGTTACTTTTTGCTGATGACACTGTGCTTTTGGGGGATTCTAAAGAAAAGTTGTAAAGGTTAGTGGACGAGTTTGGGAGGGTGTGTAAAGGTATAAAGTTGAAAGTGAACATAGATAAGGCGATGAGGGTATCAAATGTGTTGAGATGAAGAAGTGGATATTACACTGGAGGGAGGGAGTATGGAAGTGAATCTTCTTTCTTTCAACACACCGGCCATATCCCACCGAGGCGGGGTGGCCCAAAAGGAAAAGCGAAAGTTTCTCCTTTTACATTTAGTAATATACTGTGTACAGGAGAAGGGGTTACTAGCCCCTTGCTCCCGGCATTTTAGTTGCCTCTTACAACACGCATGGCTTACGGAGGAAGAATTCTATTCCACTTCCCCATGGAGATAAGAGGAAATAAACAAGAACAAGAACTAGAAAGAAAATAGAAGAAAACCAGAGGGGTGTGTATATATATGCTTGTACATGTATGTGTAGTGTGACCTAAGTGTAAATAGAAGTAGCAAGACATACCTGAAATTTTGCAGGTTTATGAGACAGACAAAAGACATCAGCAATCCTACCATCATGTAAAACAATTACGGGCTTTCATTTTACACTCACTTGGCGGTTGCTGTCTACCAACCTACTACCTACATGGAAGTGAATGTGTTCAGATATTTGGGAGTTGACTTGTCTGCAGATGGGTTTATGAAGGATGAGGTTAACCAAAGAATTGATGAAGGAAAAAAGGTGAGTGGTGTGTTGAGGTATCTGTGGAGACAAAAAAAAAAAAAAAAACATTATCCATGGAGGCAAAGAAGGGAATGTACAAGAATATAGTGGTACCAACACTCTTATATGGGTGTGAAGCTTGGGTTGCCAATGCTGCAGTGAGGAGGCAGCAAGAGGCAGTGGAGATATCCTGTCTAAGGAAAATGTGTGGTGTAAATATTATGCAAAGAATTGGCTGTGTGGAAACTAGGAGGTGTGGAGTTACTAAATGTATTAGTCAGAGGGCTGAAGAGGGGCTGTTGAGATAGTTTGGTCATTTAGAGAATGGAACAAAGTAGAATGACTTGGAGAGCATATAAATCTGTAGGGAAAGGAAGGAGGGATAGGGGTCGGCCCCGAAGAGGTTGGAGGGAGGGGGTAAAGGAGGTTTTGGGCGAGGGGCTTGGATTTCCAGCAAGCATGCATGAGTATGTTAGATAGGAGTGGAGACATATGGTTTATGGGACCTGACGAGCTGATGGAGTGTGAGCAGGGTAATATTTTGTGGAGGGATTCAGCCGGATTTGAGTCCTGGAAATAAGAAGTATAATGCCTGCACTTTAAAGGAGGGGCTTGGGATATTGGCAGTTCGGAGGGACATATGAACTGTAGTATCTGAGCGCCTCTGCAAAGACAGTGATTACGTATGAGTGATAGTGAAAGTGTTGAATGATGATGAAAGTTTTTTCTTTCTTTTTGGGTCACCCTGCCTTGGTGGGAGACGGCCGACATGTTTAAAAAAAAATTAATATAAAAATAAGGGCCAAAGAAAAAAAGAACCACAAGCGAACAGGCTAATAAAATGGGACACAGACAATGCACTGTCAGGCATGGTGTTCACTGCTAAAACAACAGATTTATTAGACAGATTAAGGAGCAAGAAGAAGAGAGAGAAGCCTAGCATGTGATAGTTATGTTGCCACTAAAGCAACAGATATTAAAACATAGAACAGAAATTTTGCAGCTTCTATTAGCTGAATGAGCTCCTCTTGACTGTGAAGGGGTGGAAACATTGGATGTGTTTCCTTACACTGGTTGTCTATGTTCACCCATCAGTATAAAATGGGTACTAGGGTGTTAGTCGACTGGTGTGGGTCACATCCTGGGACAAAACTGACCTAATTTGCCTGAAATGCTCAGAATAACAAGACGCTTTCTATATAGTAGTATGTCACTGATGTCAGCTAGGCCTCTATACCTTGTACATGTACTTGTAGTAAATAAAGATATTATTATTATTAACTACTTGTTTTCTCAGTGCGAGATAAAACAACAGAACTGAATACAAGTAAGTGGCAAATGCTACACCTACTAAAACTTTTTAGAATTATATAACAAAATGAATGGGACAAAATGAACATATATTTATATATAACATTCATGAGAGCTAAACCCATCAGGGCTACATAGCTCTTCAGCAAGCAGTGGTAATCAAGTTTGATACAAGAAGGGGAAAGTAGCTCCAACCAGAAGCATAACTCTGCTCCAGTAACTACAGATAGATAATAACAGGACAGAAAATGCACATATGAATAATAAGAAAGACCGCAAGATAAAATTACATATCCACTTGTAATGAAAACACACTTTCTCGACGGTAGTCTATCTTGAGATTATTTGCAAGGGTCTGTCTGCTTGGTATCTACCAGGAAGGGTCTAGGAAGGTAGAGTCCTACAATCAAATAGACAGCAAACAGCAATACAAAAGAAAAAAAAAGAAAATAAACAATAAACCCTCTCACAACACAATTCCTGGTGTGATTTTGTTACAGTGTTTCAAAAAAAAAAAAGGAAGCAAGAATTTTGATAATGAATAAAAAACATGATACTGCACAATGTAAAACATGAGATAATCAGCTAATGCACAGAATTTTGGTAAAACTCAGTGTAAAGTTTCACAGCAGCAAGCTATAAATAAACACCTGGGAACTACAACTGTTGGAATTATTCCGTTCTGACCAATGTTAGGGCTAAGAGTAGTGTGTGTTTGTGGAGGAACAGTTCCTCCACTAGCACACTAACAGTGTTTGTGGAGATACAGTTTCTCCACTAGCACTTCTGTCATCCACATATGCTGTCTGAAAAAAAAAAACCTTTCATCATCATTCACTCCAGCCACTTTCTTGCAAGAGGCATGCCTATACTACAGTTAAAAAACTGCAACATAACACCCCTCCCTCAAAGTGCACGCACTGTAAAGTGGACCCCTGCCTTACGATATTAATCCAATCCTGAGAGCTCATCGTAAGCCGAAATTATCGTTAGCTGAATTAATTTTCCCCATAAGAAATAATGGAAATCAAATTAATCTGTTCCTGACACCCCAAAGTATGAAAAAAAATTTTTTTTTTACCACATGAAATATTAATTTTAATACACACAAACTGAAGAAGACATGCACAATTACTACTCTACTAAGAATAGAATACATGACACTTACCTTTATTGAAGATCTGGTGATGATTGATGGGATGGGAGGAGGGGAGTGTGTGGATGGTGTTAATGTTTACAAGGGGAATCCCCTTCCATTAGGACTTGAGGTAGCAAGTCCTTTTCCGGGGTTACTTCCCTTCTTCTTTTAATGCCACTAGGACCAGCTTGAGAGTCACTGGACCTCTGTCACACAACAAATCTGTCCATAGAGCTCTGTACCTCCTGTTCCTTTAAGACTTTCCTAAAACAGACCATAACATTGTCATTCTACAGGCTGCCAATACGGCTTGCAGTAGCTGTGTCAGGATGATTTTCATCCACAAAGGTTTGCAGTTCAACCCACTTTGCACACATTTCCTTAATCTCTTTTTTCAATTCCATACTAATTCTCGCCCTTTTTACCACAGGGATGGCACTAGTAGCTTTCTTGGGGTCCATGGTGACTTATTTTGCAGTTACAAGCAGTAAAACAGGGATAACAGGGCTATCTTGCTACTCCTACTTACATTTTGGTCACACTTCACAGACACGCACATGCATATATATATATACATACATCTAGGTTTTTCTCCTTTTTCTAAATAGCTCTTGTTCCTCTTTATTTCTTCTATTGTCCATGGGGAAGTGGAAAAGAATCTTTCCTCCGTAAGCCATGCGTGTCGTATGAGGCGACTAAAATGCCGGGAGCAATGGGCTAGTAACCCCTTCTCCTGTAGACATTTACTAAAAAAGAGAAGAAAAACTTTATAAAACTGGGATGCTTAAATGTGCGTGGATGTAGTGCGGATGACAAGAAACAGATGATTGCTGATGTTATGAATGAAAAGAAGTTGGATGTCCTGGCCCTAAGCGAAACAAAGCTGAAGGGGGTAGGGGAGTTTCAGTGGGGGAAAAAAATTGGATTAAATCTGGAGTATCTGAGAGAGTTAGAGCAAAGGAAGGAGTAGCAGTAATGTTGAAGGATCAGTTATGGAAGGAGAAAAGAGAATATGAATGTGTAAATTCAAGAATTATGTGGATTAAAGTAAAAGTTGGATGCGAGAAGTGGGTCATAATAAGCGTGTATGCACCTGGAGAAGAGAGGAATGCAGAGGAGAGAAAGAGATTTTGGGAGATGTTAAGTGAATGTATAGGAACCTTTGAACCAAGTGAGAGAGTAATTGTGGTAGGGGACCTGAATGCTAAAGTAGGAGAAACTTTTAGAGACGGTGTGGTAGGTAAGTTTGGGGTGCCAGGTGTAAATGATAAT